GGAGGGAGGCTACCACCGAAAATCTTTCCCTTGTGGAAATCAGTGTTTGTGTCGCTGGACCAACTTCCAGATTGTAGGTTTTGCTTCTCTGTAGGCTTTAGCAGCTCGGAATCTGGTACAGAGGACAGCTTTGAGTACATCGCTTTGAACCTAACCCTTTGCCTGGTTCAGTCTAAAGCAGGTTTCTCAGCTGTGGCAACTTAAGAGCTGTGGACGTCAACTCCCAGAATCCCCCAGCCAGCCTGCTGGCTGGGGGATTCTGGGAGTTGACATCCACAAGTCTTAATATTTTAAAATAATATTTTCTTTCTAAAGCATCTTTTGCTGGGAGCAGGTAGGAAAGGTCCTTCCCTGCTGAAAACCAGGATAAAAATGGAATCTAGCATTCTATCTATACTTTCTCCTTTTTCTCCTCCAAGAATAATGCTCTTAGCTTAACCCTCCCATTTACCTTCCCAAAGACCCATGAGGTAGACTACGCTGGGCAGGGGAAGATTGAACAACTTCAAAGACGACCAGTTTCGGGATCATAAAGTGAGGTGGATTAATAGCTATAAAACCCATAACACAGTTTGTTTGCCTTTGGCCTAGTTTATTGTATGAAGTTAGCCCCTGGATTTTGCTCCGCATAACCAGTTGGAAGAAACCAGTTTTGTTCCCTTAAACAACTGTTTAATAATAACTGGGTTTTTTTTAAAAAAATTTAAAATTCTACTTTGCCTGAAATGTAACTTTAATTACTGGGGCTGGTTCAACAAAGCAGAATCGCATCAACCAGGCCTACAGCATAATGCATGAACCAGCAATTTCTTACAGCAGAATTTAAACGGCGTTTTCAAAGCTTTTCCAAATTCCATTCCTTGCTGCGGATTTGTTCCTTCGGCAGAACAAATGAGTGGAGGTTCCCCCCCCCCCCCCCCCCCCCCATTTTCTGACAACATTTCTCTCCTCGCAGGTGGGAAAGGAGCCCATAAGGTGATCCACCTGCTTTGGTGTTGCTAACAGGTGTCTCGAGCAGCGGGTCTTCCTTTGGAAGGGAAAAAAAAAAAAAAAAGACAAACGTAGCATAGCCAAAATACACAACGGTGTACAAATAACCACAAAGAAGCAGCACACAGCAAAATGCCCCGGAGCATCTGCTAATGGAGAATTGCACGCCGAAACCAGCAAGGAGCACAATAGTCTCAGGCCGGGGGACAGAGAGGTTGACAGGGGACAGTTTTTAGGGGACAGGCACCTGCTTCTGAATGAGGTCCCTGCTGTCTCCAAGCCTCTGGAGAACTCAGGGAGGAACTGACAGTTGAAAAGCCAGGGTGAAAATCACAGGGTTGTAGTTTCCACGCGCCCGGAAGGCCGCCGGAGAGAGGGCAGACGTTTGAGACCCTTCCGTTGGGGAAAGGCGGAGGTGTGACAAGGTCTCAGCCGGCTAACGGCGCCTTGTTTGCGCTCAGGATCAATCCGACCCACCTCATGGAAATGGATACCGCCGTCGGAGGCTTCCAACAAGCGATCCGAAATTAATTGCAATAAGAGGTATAATAGCTGCTCGGCTAGGAACAGAAACACTGTCAATTAAGTGAAAATTGCTTCCTCAAAAGTTAAATACACGTTTCTTGCCTTTTTAATTTCACAACACCTTTTTCTTATTTGTAAGCAAGAAGAGACTCCCAAGCTGCTATTCACAGTGCTCATTTCCAAAAGATAGCAATGTGTGTGTGTGTGTATACACATACATACATACATATTCATATATGTTTTCTTAAGTTTTCACGGGTACTTACATGTATATATTCATATATGTATATATGTTTGTATATATTAAATATTTCACACGCATCTTACCCATCAAAACCAGGAGGGGGAGAGAAAAAAGTATAATTGCCCCAAACACAATACCGTAACAGCTGCCTCTTGATAAGGCAGCGTAGTAGTTTCCCATTCATGGCTCTTAATGCAGTTAGTTGTAAATATGTATTTATATCTCCATTTAAGGATTCGAAAGCCGAACTAACCAAGGCAGCTGGCCATCTTTTCTTTTTTTTCTTTCTTTTTCCCCCCCCCCTAAACGGTTCCATATATTTGGAACAAAGGAAAATGGCTGCTTTAAGAAAAAACGGGGAAGAGAATGGGAACAGAGGGCATCCGTGTCCATTAATTTCTGCCCCACTTGGTAAGATTAGGCAGTCCTAACACGTCCAACAGATCGGGATCCAATAGATCCCGATACATCCAGTGCAGGGAATAAACGATTACGTGCGTTGGGAAGCAGATCTTCATCATCTTCCGCTTCAGAACCCCATAACCCATGGAATAGCTTTTGCCTCCTGCAGTTTGTGGGCACTCCATCACCGGAGGCTTTCTAGAAAAAAATCGGACATCCACTCGTCCAGGATGGCGTAAAGGACTCCTGCCTTGGGTAGGGGGTAGACTAGAAGACCTCCAAGCTCCCTTCCAGCCCTACGAGTCGTATGTTCCGGTTGAGCCTGTATAATTCCCGTTGCCAACTGGGATTCTGTCCCAGGTTCGGTTCTGGACAGTCAGACCCCCTTTTTGACATTCCCTCCTGCCCCATCTGGTTTTGTGCTCCTCGATTAGACGGTGTGTGTTTGTGTGTGTGTGTGTTTGTTTGGAGGGTGGGGGGGGGAAAGAAACGTGCTTTGGAGCCCAGCCCCAAGCGGATAGCAGCGTGCCTAGAGCCGTCGCTTGACCTTTAATTGGTGTTGGAAAAGACCAGATGGAAACCAACGATTGATTGACTTTAATTGGAAATCCGCAATGGGAGATTGCCAGCTACCGAAAGGTTGCGGCTGCTTCTTCTTCTTCTTCTTTCTCTCTCTCTCTCTCTCCCTCTCTTTTTTTTTTTTTCCTGTCCGGAGAAAATGAGGGCCTAAACCCCCACCCCCCACCCTGTCCCAAGGGGCCTTTGGTGAGCGGCGGTTGCTTGTACATTCGGCGCCCCCCACCGCCTTCTTCACACGCGGGGAGTGCCCGAGAGGACGCTTCTAGGAATGTCAGCCTTTCCAGGCTTCTCCCTGCGTTACATCGCTAAGCAACTTTTGGGAGACATTCGCCCCTCCCCTCTACCCACCCGCCATCTGGGGAAAGAAGGCAGGCAACCGGGCGGGTGGGAGGGTGTGGATTTAAGCCGCAAGGGGAGCCACGTTCTACGTCGGGGAGCAGCCCCGTGATTCAACTAACATATGAACGTGTGAAGAAGTGCAAAGCCAAACCACGGTGTGTGTGTGTATGTGTGTGTGTGTGTGTGTGTGTGTTGTTGTTTTTTTCTCTCTCTCTCTCCTTTTTTTCTCAAAGGATGATGCAAAGGCTTATGACAAGCAGAACACCGGTGATGCACCGGCTGGCTCTTTTCCCACAGTCTGTCGCTGATGGGTATGTGTCCCTCCAGTCCGACTGGCTGGCTCGTGAGGAGGCAGCCACCCTCCTTTCAGCGGGCTAAGGGCCAAACTGCAAGGAGGGTCTCAGAATGGATTGGGACACAAGCCCCCCCCCGCCCTTCAAGGCCTGTTCCCACCCACCCCTTCCTCCTGCTGGTCTTCTCATTCCAGGATTGCCTCATCTTAACAGAGGCCTTCAGCCTGTCTTGGACTACACCTCCCCTCGTCCCCAGCTGGAAATCCCCCCCCCCCACACCACAAGCCATCCTAGTCCACGAGGCTGTGGCAGCTCCCTGGCCGTCTGGCCTCTTAAGAGGCTGGGAGGTTGCCTGGCTTGCAATGCTGATGTAAAGACCCCACTTCTGGGTGGGAGGGATGTATCTCATCCCTGCCCTGGGTCCATTTCTGGTCTGGGGGAAAGCAGCAGATGTTGACCCTGGGTTTCCACAGGCGGCCTCGGTCCTGGTTCTTGAATTAACCCACATCCTGGGATCACCCAGCGGGTTGAATCTCTTAAATTAGCCACATGGCTTGCGTCCCCCTGACTCTCACAGCTGCTAGCCAGCAAAGGAGGATGCTTTACCAGAGGGGTGGGGGGAACCCAGAAGGATCCCACTTGCTGAACCTTCTCCCCCGCCCGGCACTTTGCTTTTCAATGGCTTGGGCAGCTGCTCCTCTCCTCCCCACCCCTCGCCTCCCACTATTTTGGGCGACAAACTTGTTGTGAGCGTCAAGGAGAGAGAGAGCGGGTGGCAGAATTGTTGAGTCTTTTGGGATCCATCTGGGATTTGCTGGCAGCTCGGATAAATTTAGAGTCATAGTAGCACTTCGTTCCACCCTCCCGTCAGCCGTCAGCGCCTGGATCCCGGCTGTCACACTCCTCCTGCACCCCACCCAGTGCGCCAGCCCGCCCCGCCAGCCTTGGGATTGCCACGTGTGCCGCCTGGAGAGCCCGCAGCTGACCGGGGAAGGGACTCGCCCACGGGAGGCGAAGAGGGAGCCGCCTCCCGTGCTCAGGTTTTTGTAGCGTGCCATTCGGGCCGCGTCACAATCTCACAAGGGCCTGCGGTCGTCTTCCGCCGCTAGACTTTTGCAGTTTTGCAGCCCGGTCTTAGGTCCTCTGAAGGTATCCAGAGTCCTAATCTCCCAAGGACAAACACACCAAGTGGCAAGATCAAATCAGGGGAGTCCTGCCCCCCACACCCCCCAAAAGCAAACCACCCCTCCATTCTTCCACGCTCCATTTTGGAGCCCAGAAATGTGTTCCTCTTCGCTGCCCTATCACATCAATGGCATCATTTGGGAGTTTCTTTGGGTGGCCTTCTCCCCACCCCCGCCCCCACGCATCCTTCCTCACCTGCTTTTCCCACTTGAAGATTTTCACAGGGCCAAACCCACCCACCCCCGCCCCTCTCCAGGCCTTTCCATAGCCACCCAGTTGGATATCTTTGGCCTAATCCTTTATATATATATTTTTTGTTTTCCTAGAGTCTCCATCCAAGTTTGAAACCCGATGCTTGCTTTCTTTCTTTTGTCCTGTTCCATTCATTCATTCATTCATTCATTCATTCATTCCTCCTCTCCCCCCTTTTCATCTGTTTGAAGGGACAATGGAGAAACGATATGTTCAATGGACAAGGCTGTATGATCCATTGTTCGGGCGTCATCTACGACGGGCTCTGGCATAACGGCTCCCCTCTGGGTACGTGCTCCAGATTTACGCAGTTCGGCTCGTAATGGGACACCCTCCCGTGGAAGGATGCCCTGCCTTTCCCTTGACTTGATCTGGCCTCAACTCCGCTCTCTCAACTTGTCCAGCCAAAGAGTTTAAAAGCAGCAGCAGCAGCAGCGAATCCACGTTGGGGGTACGGGAGAATTCTCTGGGCCAGGGAGAGGCAGCTGTTTGCAGCAGAACTCAGAAGCCCCGCTTGAAATGCTGGGGGTGGGGAGGCAGGCAGTCCTCTTTTCACACGTGATCCCCATTCAGGCCTCAGGAAGAGAAAAGGAAACTTTAGGAAAATTGCCAGAAGTTTGTGGTGATCTTGGCTGGGGATCCCTTGGATGGACAGTACTATAGCACAGGCAGGCAGGCAGATAGAGATGATAGATAGATAGATAGACAGACAGATAGATGATAGATAGGTAGGTAAGTAGATAGGTAGAGAAGATAGATAGATAGATAGATAGATAGATAGATAGATAGATAGATAGA